ACCTCTTTAGACTTATGTTCAATATTTCTGTAGATACAACCTAAAATCCTATTTGCCCTACCACTAGCAATAGCATACTGCTTGGATGGCTTTAGAGACTGATCGATATTACACCATGATCCCTTTCTTTCATGACACTGTTAAGGTTATTCCCATCAAAATTATACTTATAATTCAAATTATGATAACCCGCATGCATTATCTTGGATTTATTATAATTAAAACTCCCATTATTTGCCCAACTCACTAAATGATCTAAATCCTTTTGCAAATCAGCAGCATCCTCTTCACAGCTAGCAACACCCAAGACCTTAATATCATCTGCAAATTTAAATAACTTATTGACTATTCCTTCATCTATGTCATTGATGTAAAACAAAAAGAGCAAAGGTCCTAAGACTCAGCCCTGAGGTACCCCACTTGTTTGACTGAACTCTATTTGTAACAACCCTCTGCTTTCTTCCATCCAGCCCACTATTCAAAGACTGACAAAAAATAGTAGTAAGTGGCTCACATATCTTTAACCTTCTGCAAAACCCTAGGGGAAATATTATCTGGCCCAGAAGCCTTATCATTTTTTAAACTTCCCAATTTTTTCTTAACCAGATCAAAATTAATGCAGTCATCTTGTTTGATCTCATAGTGCTTTCTTGTGGACAAAGAGTACAAAAATGTAGTCATTTACACGGTACAGACTGTTTACATTGTACCAAAGCATGTTTGCAGCAATAAATCAATGCTTGTAGACAACAGGAGTAAGAACCCTGTGTGGTAACCTTTTCTTTGCAACTTTCAACATACTCAACATATTGGTTAACAGGTGGCCAAAATATAAATTATAGGTTGGTTTCCTGTGTGTTTTTTTTATATGGAACAACTAGATTTAAGAATCTTCTTTCTACGTTTGTTTTTACTTCTTGACAAGTTGTAATATGCAATGATCCTGCCAGGAACTCTCCAAGAAATATTTTTCACTACTGATTAGCCATTTATTTTGCTTTATCATTTATGAACACCCTAATAACAAACTAAAATAAAGTTATTATGGAAAATCAAAAATTTACTCATGATACTTTAGGAAAAGGCATCATTTATTACATTTTGAATTATGTCAGTTTCTTTAATCATTTATTTGTTTTGAGTATTCTGCAAAGACACAGTAGCCATCTGTTCTAGCCATCCCTAATTTTGATTCTATTTTGGAAACCATACTAATTATTCTAAACAACAACAAAAATTTTAAGCCTCTACACAGCTGATTTCTTGTTTCTATCAGTACTTTCTGAATCGGTAAAACATGGCTGATCATACTACATGGTATGCTATTCTTTTATTTATTACTGCTAGTATATTGTTATGAGCTATAACTGTAATATTTGCTAGATTTCGTCAAGAATCTAGTAATTTCGAGCAGTATCTAGAAACAAGGGTACATTGTTTATACACATTAGTGTATACGAATTGAATGAGTATTCAATGGGTGTTTCAGTTCTGTGTAGACAGTGAATTATCGACTTTATTCTGCTATTCAGTTACTCTGTGAGTTACATGTTTGTTTATCGATCAAAGTTAAGTAAGTTAGGTGTAGGTACCACTGGCAAGAAAACTTTGCAAGTTTCATATTTTTCATTTACGACATTTCTGTTTAAAATCAAAATATTCTTTGTGAAATTAGGCCTACAACTTTCGTAAAAGTGAACGTAGCCTGTAGAAAATGTTATAAAAGAAATAAACAAATTCATTATTGTTACGTGGACTGGATCTTGTATTATTTTTACCAAATAATTCAGAACTACTCGCTGAACAATAGAACAAAACATGGTACAGCAATATACTAATGTTTTTATTCTATAAATGGACGCTAAACTGCTTACAATGTATCTTGTCGCTAATATAAGACAAATCCTCACCTTATAAGAAAAAAATTACATATCTGCAGTTTTTGAAACTGACTACAAAATATGTTTGGCAAAGATAATAATTTAAAAACAATTCTAAAACTTAATTTGCTTTCCACTTTATAGATGGCGCTTTCAGATAAAATAAACACCTTGCAAATAAATATCGTTTGATAGAAACGTTGACACAATTTTTTTTTCTTGAGATTTTAAGTTCTCTTTGTTTAATAACTTTTTTCTGTTATGTTCTTTACAAGCTTTGTTACAAAAAAAAAGAAATGTGCCAGAAAACTAGGTCTCATTTTTCACTGTAGATAGTAAATTAATATTAAACTTCAGTAGTGGTTGTGCTATATTTATTTAAAACTACGGAACGTAGGCATGTTCATTTTCTAGGTAAAACCAATATTTTAATATGACATAGAACTTGCGTAAGTATTTAATTGTATTACTAGAAATTGCTTATACTTTAAAGGGATAGTTTAATGTTATTTTCTCACTAATAACCTTCTAATTTACACTTTGCCTGGCTAAGTACCTCTAAGTGTTATTTGTTTAGTTTCTATTCAGGAACAAGTTAAAAACAATCATTGATAAACTTCATGTGTACTTGTAGCCTCTGAATATCCTCAAATGTTCATAATAGTTTTAGTACCGTACGCTATGCAATCACACATGCAAGTCGTTTGTATATACAATATTTTATATTGCTGCCTCACACATGCCGTACGTACTGTGACTCCACCCCTGAACCAAATAAAAGTCACGCTAATTTACTTGAAATTGTATTACATAATTAGAAATGTATAGTAGTTAATATTTTGTATAATATTTTAGAAAGTCGTACTTCTCAAACGATTCAGCTACAATATACTTTACTTAATTTTACACTGAAGAGGAATCATCCCAATTTCCAGAATATAAATTCTGTAAAATGTGTAAGATACAAAAAAAATGGCTGTCAGTATCAGTAAAAGTGTCTTTGGCCTAATATACCAATACGCTAAATTACAAACAAATTTAATAACAATGATCTGTCGATACGTTGAAATCATAAATAAAAACTGGTTAGGCGTGTTTCTATCTACGTTTCTTCACGACAGGTAAACAACCACATCTACCATCTCTTACAGCTTGTGTAGCCACGCATCACACAAGTAAATGACCGTTCTACCCTCACTTCACGGTATCTCGTTCAAACTTCTCATATGTTGACTCATCGTACATGTGTATCAGATTAAATCGAAGCAAGGAGAGGAGGGGAAAGAGGCGGGAACTATATTTGTTTCCTCTTTGTTTACACAGAGGTCAAAGTTACCAGTGTTAGTAGCGAGAAGTACAAATTTTGTACCATACGGAAAACAACACTCGCGCCATCTGTGTAATTTTAATTATTGAAACTTCAATTACTTCGTTTTTCAGTAAAAAGTAAATTCTGAAAACGTAGAAAAGCACGGCAGGTATGTGTTTATTAAAAGCTTTAAAGACATTAACTCACTTTTTAACATGAATTTGTTAAAGAAATGCAGCTGTAAAATATACAAAAAATACTATATAACGATTTTGAAACATATATTTCACTAATACAATAAATCAATTTGTCAACTGATTTGTATATTCTTTAGTCTTAGAACATCGTAGCCTTTTCTGCCATATTACTTTACAAATTTTATAATTTTTCTACACCCATTCTAATTGAAAAGTTTCACAAAATTTAGCTTTAACTGATCAAGTTTGAAGCTCAACCATATAAAATGTATTATTGATTATGCTTTTCTTAAATAAACTTGACAACTTTCCCCATACTGAGGCCACAACACTTAATCTATTTTGACACCACCACATCGGTTCCTTCATTTTTTGAGCGTTCAAACGATTCACGATTCGCATTATTTGAGCAGACTTAAAATAATATTAACATAAGTGTATATGATTTTGTCTGTTTTCACGTAAATACTCTTTAATATCACTCAGGCTCTTAGATGAAATTATGAAGTTTTTACCATATCATTCTCTCTCTTAACTAATGAATCCAGTTCATTAAGCAGACGTTTTGTAATCCAAGTATTCGAAACGTGAAGTTTCAACATAAAATTTTGATTTATTATAATTTGTGTTGTATTTTTACACAGGTGGATGCTTTTTTAAAGATTCTGGTTCAAATAAAGTACAAATGTTAAATGTTGATCACTTAATTTTTCAACATATACGAACGCAATTACTGGAACTACAGACTAATTCCCAAACAAGTCTCAGAAGAAACAAACTTCCTTTTCGACCCTCACTTCTCAGCCTTCACAGCTTGTGACGTCACGAGGTTATCACCTTGGCGCTATATATATAAGGCAGCACAGTTTTGTACCGAATGCAGGAAATTTTGTGTTGTGACTCATCACATACAATCTCCCACAGCATATACTAACACAACAGCCAACTTCCTATTAAAATTATTCTCTGGTAAACAGATCCCCATCACACGTGACTTGAAACAAAGAAAAATATATAAAGTTCCGATTCAATTACCATATGATTAAATATATATTATTTTACTTATAAAGGATTTTCCTAATAAGCGTCTATGATCAAACTAATACTTTATCGTAAAGTTTGATACGGGGCTGAAATTTATTCATTTTCTAATTAACTTTATCAAAATAAAGTGAAGAGATATATATTGAAAAATTGACCCGTACAAAACATTAAGTCAATAACAGTCGATAGTGTACTGTACATTTTGTTGTTGTTTTTCAAACCACGTGGAGGTCATCAGTCGATTGTAGCTTTTCGCGTATATGTCACATATATACATGTATATATTTTCTACAAACATTACACAGATTATTGTCTTAGATAAAATCTAGTTTTGTGACATCTTATTTTGAGCAACTGCACTTGATAACAATAGTGTGTGCGCGCGCGCATTATGAGAGGGTATATTTCTGTCACGACATCTGATAACCAAATGTATTTCTTTACCAAGACTGAACGTAAACAGATTGCACAAAAGCCTTCGAGGAAATACAAGACCTTTAAACCGACATTAAACTTAATGTTATTTGCTACATTATTTTGCTGATAAAGAATATACAAACAAATACTCACCTCAAAGGCATATTCTTGGACTAGAGTTATATCTCGTTCATCTAGTAAGGTGTATTTCATCTATCAATAGAAAAAACAAAAAACAATCAATATCACTTGAAAAGTTGTACACTGACCACACATTCCCTGTATCGTGCAGCAGTGACGACAGGGTTACATGTCTTATGTACATCTATATATGGGCAACAATAACTTTGTTACTTATTCCGTGTCTTATTTCATTCTCCATTTCGCAATGAAATTTTAATGTGTTGGTTATTATTAATTTTTTACATAAAACAGGGCTATGAACTAATTATATACCTTCAAAGCTCCAATTTATAATACAAATATACATATATATTGTTTTGGTTTGCTTTGAGTTTTGCGCAAAGCTAAACAAGGGCTATCTGCGCTAGCCATCCCTAATTTAGCAGTGATTGTTTGTTTTGAATTTCGCGCAAAGCTTCACGAGGGCTATCTGCGCTAGCCGTCTCTAATTTAGCAGTGTAAGACTACATGGAAGGCAGCTAGTCATCACCACCCACCGCCAACTCTTGGGCTACTCTTTTACCAACGAATAGTGGGATTGACTACAACATTATAACGCCCCACGACTGAAAGGGCGAGCATGTTTGGTGTGAAGGGAATCGAACCCGCGACCCGCAGATTGCGAGTCGAGCGCCCTAACCACCTGGCCATGCCGGGCCGAGCAGTGTTAGACTAGAGCAGCGTTTCCCAAACTATGTTCCGTCTGAGATTGATAGGTGCTCCGTGAGAAAATCATGATTTTAAATTTTAATAAAGTATTTAACACTTTTTGTACGATCATAACATATTATGAAATATTTTCCTATATATTAGAATTAGATAATATCGATTTCACATTGAAAAAGAATTATAGAAGATGCCATATCTATTCTACATAATATCTTAGTGGAGAGGTTTGTATCTAAAATATATTATAAGCATAAAAATGTAAAAATACATTAATATGTAATTTGATTAAATAAATAAATGAATAATACACAACTCTAGAGGGCGCTGCGCACGCAAACATACCCTCTACATCGATATTTCACGTGTCTAGTGTTCCACAAGCTTTTTCTCAGCTGAAAAGTGTTCCGTGGCCAAAAAAGTCGGGAAACGCTGAACTAGAAGGAAGGCAGCTAGTTAGTCAACACCACCCACCACCAACACTTGGGCTACTCTAATAGTGGGATTGACCGTCACTTTATAGCGCCCCACGGCTGAAAGTGCAAGCATGTTCGGTGACGAGGATTCAAACCCGCGACCCTCAGATTGCGAGTCGAGCACCCTAACTACCAGCCCCACAAATGTATAAAATGATCATCAGCATATATATATATATATATATATATATATACCATTCGAGGTAAAATTTTTAAATCTCTCACAAATTTAATTCAAACAGGTAACTCCAGTTAAATTTATTAACTTGCCTTCCAAAATGCAAAATAAAACAAGTTTCACAATACATAAACTTGTATCACAGTGACTTAAGCCTAATATTTAAACATCGTATGCGACTGAGGTTGAGCTGCCCACAGTCGCACGTAAAAGAAGCTTACAAACTCGTATTTCAAATAACATTCTACCCAAGAACGGAATTCCATATCGGTCATTATTAAAGAGTAGACTTGCGTGGATGCGAGCAACCAATATTAAAGACAAGCAAAAAAAAAAAAAAACATTTTCTGTGGTGAAACACGCGAGGGTAATTATAAAATTAAACCAATTTTATGTTCCATGGAAAACAGACGAGTTTACTGGTCCAAGGAAAACGATTATCAAATTCACATATACAAATTTGTAAAATTTTGTTTTCGTGAAAGAAAGAAAATAACTGACCTAATTCCAGACAAAGGAACTTAACTAGAGAAAGTATCCGCTTCTTGCCAAGTTTTAATGGAATCCTTTCTAGCCTTCTTTTGTTTTAATTAAGACACACACTAATAAACCAACATTTTTACATATTTCAAAGTGCTATTGGAGAAAACAAAACCTTAACTTTGCCAAATACATGTTGAAATTTCGCATCAAAGTAACTAAATAAGTGTTCGAGTAACTGGGTCCTACACCACAAGCTTGAAAACCAGTTGTTTCTACTCTTTTTATTCTCAAAATGAACTAAAATGCCAAACTGGCCTAATTTTTATGGCGATAATAACTTACAGTCAGTCAGTCGTTTCATGCTTGAAATAAATCCCAAGTTTTAGTTGTTGTTGCTTTTGCAGTGAAGGATATCCTAATTTACCAAGTCGTCAAAACGTTTATCTCGTAAAGAAAAACAGCCTTCAAGTAGTTAGTACGTCACATGTAAATTGAATCATCTCGGGAAAATATTGTTTCTAAACTTTGAAAAACAAACACACTGTAACAAAATGTTTGAATGTTACCATAGCTGTAACAACAAGTCTGCTGCGCTTTCGACGGTATGGGGAGACAAAGAAATATACATTGGTCAGTTTTATAATGGCCGATACAGCGAAGAACAACACTACTATCCATTTTATATTCCTATATAACTCATGGACTAGATGTACTTCTGCAGAGTCCCCGAAAGTGTTCTGTTTCACTGGTAAATAAAACCAAAGTTAAGATAAACAAATATTATAATTTCTTCTCTTTGAAAATCATATGCCATGCGCACGTTTTACTGACGTCACGACAGTACAAAATACAACGTTTAGCGTCCCTTATGTGACGTCATTTTAGTGTCTACTGGCTGAATGACAGACAACACACTACTGTATCGTGGTACAAATGGTTAAAACAGGTGACCCCTCCAGGCGGCTTTCGGGGAAATAATTTAATATGGAACGTAACTTGCGTATAATTCTTTCGTAATCATTAAATCAACTCTAATACAATTTAATACGATTCGTTACGAGATCCAGCGCCGAAGCAAATGGTAAGCAAGAACGTCAATTTTCGCTATTAATCCATATAATCCAGGAACGCCGAGAGCCAGAACGGGCCCCTCTTCTCTCTCTCTCTTTTTTAACATTTTTAAGAATTTATTAAAAAGAAGATCCTAAATTAGGACACCAACGAACCCATAGACCAGACACAATCATAGCAGCAGCCGTTTTTACCTCACAGTATAAGTGTAAAAACGTTAATAAAGTAACAACAAATATCTATTAAATGTATAAAGTAACAAATACATATTAATTATTACTCAAATTATTATTACAGCCATTCTTAACGTATCAAACGTCTATATGCAATGAAAAGCCAAAAACTATGGTTTTTATCATTAAATGAAGATATAGCCTAAAGATGCTTTGCGGGCTTTACGGCATAACCAGGTTTCATTCGCACGGGCCCCCGGGCAGTTGCCCCGCCTGGCTAAAACTTTTTTTTTTTTATTATATCATAGCTCAAAACGTTTAGTCTGTCAGTCTTAAATAACGTTTCATCAGTTGGTAACTTCTTAAATATTTCACCTTATTTGTTTCTTGAATATTTAAGAAAACTATTTAAGATATCTTCTTTTAAATTAAAAGGTTATTAAAAAATACCAAATTGTTTTTTTTTTACTTTAAATGTAATTTATATATGGTACTTTAAAGTTACATTCTGATATCTGGCACCAGCATTCAATGTCATAAGATCCCGAGCCACACGTAATGGCGTCAAACACTAGAGAAGACCGAATTTCTCCAAGTTCTAATGGCGATTTAAGATGATCTTTAGCCGATTTAAATACACGTATATAACTCAAGATTAACAAATTTTACAAATACAGTTTATCTAAGTCCAATATAATTGATATATAATAACAAACTACTAAATATTTATTCATGGTACGGTGTAACTGATTATCATATGTCGTCACATTTTTAATACTCTCGTCCACCAGGCGACTACCGGTTTCTGTTCATCTTCGTATCCAGTAACAAGTAAAACACGGTTAAGGTATTGTGATATCAATCGACTAATGAATCTGAATCAGTCAACTGTTTTTTTTTTTATCGCAAGTGAACAAATTCAGAACCTCCATGTCTGACGTCAAACTAAGTGAATTACGTCACTTTTCTGTGCAAGACGAGAACACCTACACAAAATGATATCCGACACCAAGTTTCTATTGTTGATGAAATACCGCAGTCGACTTTGATTAGACTCTGTTATGCCATATACACTGCACAAAGAATTGAAATGTACTTAATAAATATGAATAAAATCCTTTGAATCTAATATTCTAACATGGATCATATGTTAGGCAAACCGACTAAAAAATGTGACAAAGCCGGCGAAAATTCCTTATTTATCTAATAATGAAGACAAAAGTATTGTGTCAATTATTCAGTTTGTAGATGTTAATTTTAAATATCTTATTTAACTCTTCTGCCTAAAGTGAGTTGTTTGTAACGCCTCTATCGGAATAATAACAAATTTGAATGTAGTGAGTTTGTTACTGGCGGCATATATCTATACCTACTACTTATCTGTATGTGTGTAATAATAAAATGAACCAGTTAAACGTTTAGAAATGACAATATTTAAGAACGCATTCGAAGACAGCACCCACAGTGGTATATTTTCAGTTACCAAACAAATGCACGACTGAAAGATTATCACGCATCTCCTAAAATATAAGTAACAAAAACTTCGTTATTCATCAAGTCCACAGTGATCATGACACTGCTGATTTCTTTAAACGCGTTGTCAACCAAGAAAATGAAGATAAGTAACAAATCGCATAACACTATATGTTGTAATGCCAGTCAAAAAATAGTGTAAAATTACCAGCAACACGAAAGTAAATACACAAATGTACTCACGCCGACTTTCGTTTCAAGGTACTATTGTAGGACTTGAGAGTTACGACTTAGCCCTCAATTAGTCACGTGGGGTTATTATGCCCCCGTGCAATTTCTTTAATTAATTATTATACGATAGATGGCACTTTACTTTAGCCCTGTCCACAATAGCTTCCTTAATTGTTTGTCTGTCCATTTTGCAGTCTTCATCAGTGTTCTGCAGTTGTAGATTTTTGCAAAGCTTTACATTGGGGTCATATTTACCCCACGCGACTACTTGGGTTATAA